ACAGTTCAACCCTTTCTCAAAAACCTGAAAACCAAACAACGAAAGCACAGAAAGGAAGTTCATTTATAGTTGGATTTTGTTGTTGCTTGCTAGAGTTTGAACCCAGGCTCCCCTCCAGGCTCTCACACAAACTGAGCATGCATTCTTGCACAGACATGTCCACTTTACACATGTTGTAAAGGAAAGGCCATCCTTTGTTTCAGCCGAGTAACCTTCATGTGGTCTTTGTAATGATTGTTTTAATTTTCATTTCTCTTAGGGGTGTGGGAAAGTCCCGCTTTTTTGACATCCTGACCAGTGTTGGCTGTTTTTCTCCTTTGATAACAGCCATTCTGATTCTTGTCATTGATTTGTGGGTCCCCAGTGATGGGTGTCATTGAATACTTTTTCGTTTATATGTTGAGTGGCATTCATATTGAACAGCTGCCACCACCATCCATCTTCACACCACTTTGCATCCTTTCAACTGAAGTTACTTGCTATAGCCCCTTCTCGTGCCCTGTCCCCAGGAAATGTATTCCGCTTTCCATCTGTATGAATTCAACTGCTCCAGGCACCTCACATGTGTGGAATATCCCATTCATCTTGCTGTGACTGGCTTATTTCCCTTGGCTTGGTACCCTCCAGAGACACCCATGTTGGTTTGGCATGCTGGATGTTCCATTACAGGTGTACATTTCTGCTTCTTTTTATCTGTCTGTTGCAAAAAGCCTGAATAATACTGCATGTGCAGAGTATGTAGACACTGCTCCTAAGACGCTGCCTCTAGAACATCTCTGTGTGTATCCAGAAGGGGAATTTCAAGATGCATGACTCTCCTTCTACTCTACTTTAAGTCAGAACTTTCCTATTAACTTATTTTATTTTATTTTATTTATTTATTTATTTTACTCATTTATTGTGGTGCTGGAGATGGAGGCCTGTGTTCAGCAGGCGGATTTGCCACTGTGCCATGCCTCCAACCATTCATTGCTTCTGTAAAGAAATCTAACAATGCAGTGTTATATGGTAATTTGTCTTGGAGCTGCAGCCTCTTTAACCATCCTTTGTCTTTGCCATCTGTGTTCCCAGATCACAGACTCGGCCTGGTTCAGAATGAGGGGCAGGGCTGTGCATCTCCCAGCTGGTCCCTTTTCCTTTGCTGTACAGTTATGTCAGGTCAGACTGCTGGAGTACAATGCCACAGGCTGAGTACTTGCTATGCAAGATGAGCACTTGAGTTTGAGCCTCCAAGACCCATGGGGAAAAGCTGGGCATGGCTGGATGTGCCTGGAATCCCAGCATAGGGGTCAAGACAGGCAGATCCTGAAAGCTCATTGGCCAGCCAGCCTAACTGAAACACTGAGCTGCTGCTTCAGTGAGAGACCCTGTCTCAAAGCAGTATGGCAGACGTCTCTGCCTCTGCATGCATATATACCTGCCACTCGTGTGCATGTACATCCATCCCATTGTGTACCACACTCCACACATATCACATCACAGACATAGCACAGCACACACACATCACATACCACAAACACAGATACCACGCAAACACCATACACACACATATACCACACACACATCACAGCAGGTACACATACCACACCCCACACCCCCCCACACATACACCATGCACTCACACACACACACCCCACTACACACACATATACCACACATACATCACAGCACTACACATACCACACCCCCCACACCATGCACTCACACACACACACACACACACACACATCCCACATCACATCTCACACACAGACCACACACACATACCACATGTACACATCACCCCAACACATGCACATACTCACACATCCCACAAATCACATCTCTCACACATACAACACACACACACACACACACACACACACACACACACACTGACAGACCACAGACACATATACCACATTACCACATCACCCCCCCAACACACACACCCCACACATCACATCTCTCACACATTCATCACATACATTGACCACACACACACATACCACATGCACAATCAACCCCCCCCCCACACACACACACATACTCGCCACAGACTGATGGCTTAACCAATATCTATTTCTTCAGCCTGGCTGGGAAGTCTGCTGAAGGTTTAATTGATGTAGTGTCAGTTGAGGGCAGTCATCCTGGTTACAGAAGCTGAACAGAGAACAGGCTCTGGGCTCATCTTCTTTAAGGATATGAAGCCCACTGTGGCAGGGGAAGGGAGGGCCCATTCTCACCATCTCACATGAATCTACTTATTTCTCATGAAGGTCACATTAGTAATTGGAACTTTAATACATGAATGTGGGGGCCCAGCATTCATAGAGTTTCATACTTCAAGGGGGTAAACAGAGCTTTGGAGGACAGGAGCCCAGAGTGAGAACAACCAAGAGGAGAGAAACCAAAAAACAATGTAGACCACAAAGGAGGGGAAGGGGACAGAGTGGGCCATCGTCCTGCACACGCTGCTGCTCCTCCGTGTCTTAACATGATGAAGCCTATGATAGCCTTCCTTGTGAAGGTAATTCCATTCAGGGTTTCCAGTCTGACCAAGAAATAAAACATGACTGGCTTCCCTGCAATGAATGATTACAATACCATAAATACTCGATCCTCTGCTAGAAGAGGGCTAACCTTTGGGATATTGGACAATATCTGGATTTTTTTTTATTGTTTAGGGAGGACCTGTGTTACGAGTAGCTTTTCCTGCTGCCGGACCCACTGCAGCGCCAGCTCCAAATAACACACAGAGACTCTGTATTTGATATAATGATGTTGGCCAGTCTAATTTCTTGTCAGCTAGCTTTGTCTTAATTATTAACCAATTTCTATTAATCAAAGTATTTCCATGTGGTCTCATCTTATTGGAGAGTGAGGCCGGCGTCTGCTCTCCCCAGTCTCTCCATGCTAACTCCTCCCTACCACTTCCTCGAATCCTCCTTGTCTCCTAGTCCTGCCTATCTTGCTTTCCTATTGGCCAACAGTGCTTTATTCATTAACCAGTATGAGAAACATATTTACAGAATGACATCTCCCATCAGACCTGTTCTGATATTGAATGAATGAATGAATGAATGGCAGAGACCAGGCTAGCCTTCCTGCTGTGCACAGGACAGCCCCAGAAAAGGATGGTTTGATCCAAAATTCAAGTGGCACCAAGGCTTAAAAGCTGCCATAATGTGTGCAAAGGATGAAACTCAGCCTGACTAAATCCACTCATCCAAATCTGAAGAACACAGGGTTTCCCAGAGCAGTGGCTTCTGTCTCTAGAGTTTTCAGGGCTTCTCTCCACTTTTAGCATTTAAAATAGATAGGACAGATAGATGATAGATAGATAGATAGATATATCATAGATTTATAGATAGATGACTGATAATAGATTTATAGATATATATTAGAAGATAGATAATAGATTTATAGAGATGACTGATAGAGGATAGATGATAGACAGCAGAGGTTAGATGATAGATTTATAGATAATAGATGATGGATGGATGGATGGATGGGTGGGTGGGTGGGTGGATGGATGATAGTGTGTGTGTGTGCCATTATCCATCCACATGTGGAGATCAGAGGACAACATTGGGTGTCCATCACTGGCTTGTTTGTGGGAGGGTCTTTGTTGTTTACTGCTGTTCTGTGTACTCCAGGTTAGCTGGCCTTAAGCTCCTGGGAGTGTCTCATCTCCCTGCCTCCCTTCTCACTGTAGGAGTGTGGGGTCACACACATGCTGTGACTCCTGGCTTTTCCATGGGTTCTAGGAATCTAAATTCAGACCATCAGGTTTGCATTGCAAGTGCTTTTATTATGAAATGTCTTCCTGGACCCCTTTTAGCTTTGTATTCTGAAATAATTTTAGACCTATAAGCTGGATGTGGTGGCAGTTGCCTTTAATCCCAGCACTGGGGAGGTAGACGTGGGTGACTGTGAGCTTGAGGTCAGCTTAGTCTACAGAGTGAGTTCTAGGCCAGTCAGGGCTAGATAGTGAAATCCTATCTCTAATAATGGTAATAGTGTAATCATTATCATTATTGGAGACTTACAAACTGCATAATTTTAATCTATTAGCATTTGGCTCTTGAAAAACTCTTCCTAAATGCATGAAACAAGTAGAGAGTATGTGGAAGGGACACGTGAAGACTCCTCCCTGTGAGGCTTCACTCTGAGGAGCAGCCGAGGGCAGAGGGAAGAGTTAACTAGAGCCACTTGGCTGCCCTGTATGGGCATCTGTCTGGTTTGGGTTATGAAGTGGCTGTGGCACTGGTGTCTGGGAGACCCCTCCTCCTTATGCTACTGATTCACTTTGGGTCTTTAGACAGAATCAATTATAGCCAACCATGCTGGGTGGCCAGGACAGCCACTAGGCTATCATCTACTCAGTGTGTGAATACTGGCTAAAACGAGTCACCTGGGGCTCAGATCTAGCTCATGGAAGCACACATGCTCACCTCAGGGTTCCATCCCTAGTAACATAGTCAAAACACAGACACCTAGAAAGGGAAGCCCCCATAGTTTTGGTGGTACACCGAAGTATCTCTAGATGTTTTAAACCTATCAACATGTATTAACCTATTGTTAGGGATAAAAATGAAGTTGCAGTTCTGTAGTGTGTGGTTTTCTTTTCAGCCTGTATGTACCATACTATTTCTGGGCATTGTGTCCATTGTGATGGGTGAATCATTTAAGATGAGGGTTACAGGATTATCTGTCCAATCCAGACCCATGGGAGCAGCTCAATGTTTTTTTCTTAGTATTGGTAGTTGAACCCAAGACTCTACACATGCTGGATAGCCATTCAATGTGAGTATCTCCTAAGTTAAATTTCAGAATGTATTTTGGGTTTCTTGCATGGGAATTGCAAGACACATTCTTGTATGACACACTCAATCTGAAGTAGATATGACAGTGCCAAGTGATGATGTCATCAGCCCTTTTGATCTAGATGCTGTAGCGATGCTAATACAGTTTGTGCAGTGGTCTTAGATTTCAGCTGTGTCTTGTGTGTTCCACAGGCAAATATGTATATCAGCCTATGACCCCCGTGGAGCAGCTCCCAAGCACGGAGATCCCTGCAAGGCCTCGAGAGCCCACCAACACCATTCAGATCTCAGTGTCGCTCACTGAACACTTTTTGAAATTTGCGTCTGTCTTCCAGCCTCCGCTTCCCCCTGACTCGCCAAGGTACTGTATGATTTCTGATCTCTTCATTGACAACTATCAGGTTAAATGTATCAATGGGAAGATGTGCTATGTGCAGAAGCAACCAGCGCCCCATTCCCAGAAGATGAGTCCTGAGGAGGTCTCTGCACATGATGCCTTACTTTCTAAAGAGAATGACACTCCAAAACTGGATCACTGCTCCTCCCCTTCCAGTTCTGAGGACTCGGGGATCAACGCAGTTGGGGCTCACTATGTGGAATCCTGTGATGAGGACACAGAAGAAGGGGCGGAACTGAGTTCTGAGGAAGATTACAGCCCTGAGAGCAGCTGGGAACCCGATGAGTGCACCCTTCTCTCCCCATCGCAGTCTGACCTGGAAGTGATCGAAACCATGGAAACCACTGTGTAGTCAGCTGGGAACTGCGGCCCAGATCCACCCTGAGCTCTGGGACTTTAATTTGTTGTGTCCTTTTCCAATACTCTTGGCATTTTCCAAGCCCTATTACTAACCATAGCAGTCCAGGGGTCTGCTAATTAGTGTTAAAATGATCTTGTAACTAGGACATTGTTTTCTTTTGTATCTTGCTTTCTATGTAGCATCTGGTGTCATAGCTGTGACCCAGCCTTAATTTCACTGAAACCTTTGAGAGTGGTGGTGACCACAGAATATCATGGCTCAAATGGAGGAGCTCCCCAGAGTAGAGGTGACCATGTTTTACCATAGCCCATCCTTTGTGGCAAAGGCTCTTGCCCAGCTTCCCTTTGGCTTGCCATGTGACACCTCTGTTCTGTTGGTTTTGGGGTGGGGGAGAGCTCTCTTCAGCTAACAGTGTTGCTGGCAACGCTCCTTCCCTTCCTCCTGCCTGGCTCAGGACAAGAGTAGCCTCAGGAGCTACTTCTAGGAGGTCCTTGGAGATCCCCTTGGCCCCTGGTGATGGCCGTGTCACAGCTTCTGTGACTGTGAGGGGAGATAGACCTCTTCAATTTGTGTCTAGTCCAGCTTTTGTACAGCAGGGTGGTGGGGATTCAGGAGGGCTCAGACCTTTGTCTCACCACAAAGAGGACACATTGAATTACAGGATACACGTCAGCACCCAGGAGGCCCTTGGAACCAGGGGAAGGAGAGGTGGACTTGGCCTAGGCTAGCCCAGAAAGTTTCTACGATGTCTGAGCTGGCCCCGGTGGGTTTCCCAGCATCCACTGCCCTTCTTGATTGTTCTTCAGATCAGGGAGAAGCATTTATGTTTTGTAGGTATTATATTTAGGAGCAGCACATCTGACATCTTAAGAAAAAAAACCACACTAGTTTTAGTTAGCATGGAAATGCTAAAAGACAAGTCCTTTAGGGATTAGGAATGAATCTAATAGGTTTGATTAATTCTGCTTCGTTTGGTTGTATGAAGCATTAGAATGGCTTAGATGAGAAATGGACTAGAATTTTGTACGATGCATGAATTTTATGCAAATGCAAAAACAGTTGATGTAGCTCACTGCTGAGTCAGGAAGATGTTTTATGTGACACTTCTTTACTTTATCACACTGGAATCCACACACATTGTGTGTGTTCTTTCACACACACAAAATAGTGAGTCATTCCTTCTCATGCAGATTTCTTCAAAGCTCTGTTCCTAACTTGCAATGTACTGGATGTTCTCATATGATCTTATTACCTGCTGTTTCTCTAACTCTATCTATGAAGCATAGTACAAATCTGGGAGCTTTAGCATATGCGAGGAGAGTCACAGAATCACAGGGAGGTGGCATCTCAGATCCTGGCAGTCTAGGCAGGTGCTGTGGCCTAATGGCCTTGTGCTGCCAGCATCCATCCCTCCCTCTCATTAGCCTCAACTCTTTGGAAAGAGAGGCTTGCCATGCTCTTGGGGCCTCCTGAATTTGGGGTTCTTCACAATGTACTTCACGATGAACCTGCTTTCCCAACTGGTTATGGAGTTCCAGTGATTCATCACTAGAACCTTCTTTAGGCTGGGAAGCCCAAAATGTCCACAGTGTTCAGAAGGCAGAATATGTGGCTTCCTTTGAAAAGCATTAGTTAGAACTTCCTGTGCTAGATGGGAGTGTAGCAGAGATCCCCACTTAGTGAATGTGAAGACAAACTAAGAAGGATCAGCAGGTTCAGGGGAGGGCAGGTGGGAGCAGCCACAACCTGGGGAGGGTCATGCTGCTGGCCTGGAATGGCCTGGGGGGCATCCGGTGAGCCCTGCCTGAGGTTTGTTATGCCTCACTGGCATGGAACCCAAATACCATGAGCCACATATCCCTCATCCTGCACTCAGGGCTGTGAGGGCAGCACCGGGGCCATCTTCAAATGCGTGGTGGGTGATGCCCCAGGAGAGGCAGGCCCACAGCAGCCAGCACTCCATCCCCTCACCTTTCTGATACTTTCCGATGGGCTCACTGCCATGAGTATTAAACTAATGAGTTACAATCCAGGTTCCAAGGCCATGAAAACACGTGGTCTGAACCACAGTTCTGGAGCTTGGCCAGGAGCTTGACTTGGGCCCTTTATCAGTAACATCTGTGACTTTTGCCCAGGGTCGTTTTTCTAAAACCCCAAACTGCCACTCAGATCTGCCACAATTGTGATGGAATTTTTGGATTTAATAACAATTGGTGATCACATTAAATATTTGCACAGTCTCTTTATAATTAAACTCACTAAGCTGTACTTGCTGTCTTATGTAGTTGAATACGTCTCCCTGCATTCTTGGATCTCCAAACAGCCTTTTATAAATGAGCACAACCGAGAGAGGTTTTTGGTTTTGTTCTCCTGACACTGTCCATACCAGTAACTGTCTAAAATACTACTAAGCCAGAACTACTTCTCTATGCTTGCATTCTGAAATCAGCGAAAAGAATATTAAAAATGTATAGCTTAACTTCAGTTCTAGGTCTATTCTGCTCTATGTTCTATGAAAGATTTTCTCTATAATCCTGGTATTATAGTGCTGATTTGTATACTTGTATTCATAGGCACTTTAGACATACTTAGATGCAACATGCACTATAGATGGTAAGCACAGTCCTGTCAAGTAGGCTTCTGACTAACACTTGTACAGAGAGACGAAAGCTTGCAGTCTGGACCTTGTAGAATGCTCACCTGGAGCAAGGCCTGACCCATGGGGATGGACTTCTGTGGGAAACTGGCACTGTTGCCACTTTTCTGAAAGGGTTAGGTACCAGAAAACTCCCAGTAAATGTGGGATATAGTTTTCTTATCTAACCAAGATTTAAGTTCCAAGTATGTTCATAACTTTTTCTGAGAAACAACAAAGCAATTAAAGTTCTTTTGGGGATAACTATTTGATCTTAAAAAAAATAAGGCTTTACTTTAAAATCTGTATATTTCTTGCCTTGTAGCATTTGAAGTATAAAATGAGAATTTGAGGGCAACTCTGCAGAGAAGCAGTTGCTTTCCTAGAAGACATACCTCAAGGTGACACAGCACAGAACAGGGTAAAGCCAAGTCTTTGTTCCAGCATAAAACAAAGAAAAGCAATACAGAACAGAGTAAAAGTGGGGTAACCATCTCCTAATACCATACTCCACCCCGCCCCGCCCCGCCCCGCCCCGCCCCGCCCCGCCACACCCCACCCCACCACACCACACACACCACACCCCACCCCACCACACCACACCACACACCACACCCACCCCACCACACCACACCACACCCACCCCACCACACACCACACCACACCACACACCACACACCACACCCACCCCACCCCACCCCACCACACACACCACACCACACACCACACACCACACCACACCACACCACACCACACACCACACCACACACCACACCACACACACCACACCCACCCCACCACACCACACCACACCACACCACACACCACACCACACCACACCACACCACACACCACCACACCACACCACACACCCCACCACACCACACCACACCACACCCCACCACACCACACCATACACCACACACCACACACCACACACCACACCACACCACACCACACACACCACACCACACACCACACCAAAACAACATACTACATGGAACAGACTAAAACTGGAGCCACAGTGTGGAAACCCAACACAGCACAATGTAACACAGTACAGAGCCAGTGCCCCAACAGGCCACCGTACAATACAGTACAATACAACACAACAAGATAATATGATACAATGCAGTGTACCACAACACAACACAACATGATGTAACAAAATAAAACACAACACAATGTAAAACTCGAGCCATGGTTGTTTTCTGATAAGTCCTTGGGATACTTTTACTTCTTAACTTCCCCTGCTTACCTGTTTGAAATATGTTCTTCTGGGGTGGATCAAGACAAAGTCTTCTTATGCAAATTTGGTTGTAACCAGACACTTTAAAAAGTCAGAATACCCATATGAGCATGGTAGTGTAAATACTGCTGCCTAAGAAAAAAGCACACATTTAAGTAAAATACTGCTCATGTCATCAGCTCCTGATCGTCGCCGAACCCTAGTTGTACAATTTTATTGTCATGTTTTGGCTTTTTACTTGAGGGAAACTTTTGAACTGTTCCCTTTCCTTCCCCTTTGTCCAGCGGTGCTGCGAGCCCGAACAGTGGACTGTGGGGCTTTGTTGGGGGGGGGCAGGTGTCATGCGCTCTCGCTACCCACGGAGGGGCAGATGGGAGGTGAGGGGAGCGCCACTCACCTTTTCTATACCACACAGCCCTGGATGCCATCTTAAACCTCAGTATAAACACAAGGGCATTTCCAAAATGATTTCGTTTCCAAACCTGACCTTGTCATGATTATGGCGCCCAGCATGGGTGTGCCCAAGTGGCTGGTGCAGTCCGTGGAGGAGCGGTTTGCTGTCCAGGGTGAAGTAGCTGGAGGTCTGTCTGGGGTTTGATGGCGCACCCAGGTCACTGTGTCTGCACATGTGTTGAGGCTTTCCATGCCTTTCAGTAGTCACGTGCTGTGCTGGGTTCTTCTGAACCGGTTTTCAAGTTTAAGCACAATGTTGACCCTTCTGTAATTTCCTAAAATTAGATTCTGTTTTCCTAAGACAGCTCAACTTTAGGAAAATACTGCTGTACAATAAATGTGGTTTTCTTTTGCACTAGAACGAAACACTGTTGGAGTTTTTATTAGGTGTTTACAGTACTCTAGGCAATAAGCAATCCATACCCCTTGCCCATTTAAACTTTCGGAAACTTTCGGAAACTCGATCACATCTCCACGCTTGCCAATGGTATTAATTCCTAGAACTCCTTGTAAAAAGCGTTTGTGTTGATTCCATCAAGTTTCTATGGAATAACAATTGCATCATCCCATAAATAACATTGACCAAGTTAGGCCCTTTCACAAGTACCCTGTAAGAGAGCTGCAATTACAGGCTGAGTAGTGGGGGAGGCTACTACCCCACGGGCCTTGGGTTTACGCGATCACTAAGGCCCAGCATCAAGGCTCAGTATGGCCAGTCTAGAAACTCCACTTGATTCAGCATGCCAGCTTCTGGGGTTTACTTGATGGGACAGCCACCCCAAAGACTGTTGTAAAACACACCATCAGTGATGCATTCACTGACTGCCCTATGCTGCCTTATCATTTCCTATGTGGTCTTCATGATATCCCGTGTCACAAACAAGGGCAGCTCAGAAAGTGCTACAGTGGCACCATTCATTAGCCAGGCTGGGACTTGAACCCAGAACCCTGGCCCAGGAGTCCACACTCATGCCCTTGTGTCTACATTACTCCATTGTCTGTAACTTGCCAAATGCTGCCTGAGCCTGGGGATCACCACACAGTGCCACAGACAGCGCTGGAGCTAGGCTGTGCTCTGGGTAGCAGATTACCAGCTAGTGCGTGTGTGCACACATGCACTTTCCTACAAGCTCAATATTCAAACGGGCCATGGCATCTCCCATTTCAGTCACATCTTGGCCTGTACTCTTGGTTGGTTCTGCTTCCAAAAGTGCCAGCTTGTCTTCTTAGGGGTCCTTGATGACAGTGGATCTCATCTGCATGTGTGGTTCACCAATTTAAGGCTGTATAATTGTACTGCAGCGTTCTGGAAGGCGCCTTCTTATTTGCAGCCTTACAAGTGCTGACTGCCCACATTGTTCTGCAGTGCACTGGGCTGGCATCTTGTCCTGGGAACTATGAATGCTTTTAACTCTTGACCACCTCAGTGCTGAATGAAGAGGTAAAGTGGGTGGGACCTGCCTCTTGGCAGTTGAGTTTGAGGAGAGAGGGTCAGAATGGAGGTCCTTTGAACCAGGAACATGATGAAGGTCATGTTAGAAGTAAGAACAGGTGGGGCTGGAGAGATGGTTCAGTGGTTAAGAGCACTGGCTGCTCTTCCAGAGGACCTGGGCTCAATTTCCAGCATACACGGCAGTTTACAACTGCCTATAACTCTAGTTTCAGGGGATTCAACGCCTTTACACAGACATAACATGTGCACAAAACATGACTGCACATGAAATAAAATAAGTTATATAAATTAAATTGTATGTATGTATGTATGTATGTGTGTATGTATGTGTGTATGTATGTGTGTATGTATGTATGTATAAAGAATGGGTGAAGATGCTGAGATACTCAGGTGGTTTTGTTACTTCTTGGAGTTTTCTAAAATGAATCTGTACTTCCATGGCTAAAAAGGCCATTTAGTTTGAAAACGGAAGTCCTACTGAGCACAGGCAGTAAGTACCTTATTTCACAGGGTCTGTGGTAGAAGTGGAGTGTCCAGGCAATGGCCACATTACTGTTGAGAGACAAAGGCAGTTGCTGGGAGCCTGGAACTAACAGGCATCTGCTGAAGAAAAAGCCCACAGGTGCTCCCACCATGGCTGGGTGCTTGTGGGCCTGGGGAGGTCTTCCTGTGTTCCCAGCCAGACACTCTGCCCGTGAGATCTGAAGATGAGGGATTACAAAGCTTGGGCTTTAGGAGACCTCTGAGTCTGGTTCCCTGTAAGATGGCAACAAATGCCAGCATTGTTGACACATGGAGCACTGCATGTTGTAGGCACCTGAGGTTCACAAGCATCTCCCCATACAGGAGCTTCTTCACTGTCCCTGACGTGTGTGTGTGTGTGTACATATCTGTGGTGCACGTGTGTCTGTGTGTATGTCTGTTGTACGGGTGTGCATGCATGTATGTGGTGCATGTGTGTGTGTGTACATGTCTGTGGTACATGTGTGTCTGTGTGTGTGCATGTATGTGGTTCGTGTGTGTATATGTCTGTGGTGCATGTGTGTGTATTTGTGTCTCTGTGTGTCTGTTGTCTTTCTGTGTGTGTGTGTGTGATGTGTACATGTTTGTGTCTCTGTGTGTGTCTTCTTTCTCTGTGTGTGTGTCTGCGTGTGTACATATTTGTCTCTATGTGTGCATGTCTGTGGTGCATGTCTGTATGTCTGTGGTGCATGTGTGTGTGTGCATGTCTGGCGCATATGTGTCTGTGTGTCTCTCTGTGTTGGTGTGTGTGCATATCTGTGGTGCATGTGTGTATATGCGTGTGTCTGTGTGTGTGGGGGTATGTATGTGCATGTCTGTGGTGCATGTGTGTGTATTTGTGTCTCTGTGTCTGTCGTCTTTCTCTGTGTGTCTGCATGTGTACATATTTGTGTGTGCATGTCTGCGGTGCATGTGTGTCTGTGTCTCTCTCTCTGTGTGGGTATGT